ATGTCAGAAGTTAAAAAAGGAGATGGCTTGGATGTGAGGGATCCAGAGTGATTTTCTGAGCCCTTTTCCTCACTCTGGATGTATACAGTTCTTGAAGGGTGGGCAGGGGAGCACCAATAATCCTTTCAGCAGTCCGAACCGTTCTCTGTAGTCTTCTGATGTCTGAATTTGTAGCAGAACCAAACCAGACAGTTATTGATGTGCACAGAACAGGCTCAATGATGGCTGAGTAGAACTGTTTCAGCAGCTCATGTGGCAGGTTGTAGTCTTCTGATGTCTAAATTTGTAGCAGAACCAAACCAGACAGTTATTGATGTGCACAGAACAGGCTCCAATGATGGCTGAGTAGAACTGTTTCAGCAGCTCATGTGGCAGGTTAGCGTCATCCGCAAACTTCAGGAGCTTGACAGAGGGGTCTTTAGAGGTGGAGTCATTGGTGTAGAGGGAGAAGAGCAGTGGGTAGAGGACGCAACCCTGAGGGGCGCCAGTGCTGGTGGTGCGGCTGTTGGATGTGAATTTACCAATTCTCACTAGCTGTTGCCTATCTGTCAGAAAGCTGGTGATCCATTGACAGATAGAGCTAGGGACAGAGAGCTGGGTTAGTTTGGTCTGGAGGAGTGTTGGGATGATGGTGTTGAAAGCGGAGCTAAAGTCCACAAACAGGATCCTCACATAAGTCCCTGTTTTGTCCAGATGTTGCAGGATGAAGTGCAGTCCCATGTTAACTGCATCATCCACGGACCTGTTTGCTCGGTAAGCAAACTGCAGGGGGTCCAGTAAGGGTCCAGTGATGTCCTTTAGATAAGCCAACACCAACCTCTCAAATGTCTATATGACCACAGACATTAGAGCCACAAGCCTGTAGTCATTAAGTCCTGTTATCTTGGGTTTCTTTGGGATGGGGGATGATGGTGGAGCGTTTGAAGCAGGCAGGGACTTCGCACAGCTCCAGTGATCTGTTGAAGATCTGTGAGAAGATGGGGGCCAGCTGGTCAGAGCAGGTTTTCAGACATGCTGGTGTTACACCATCTGGGCCTGGAGCCTTTCTTCTCTTGTTCTTTCTGAAGACCTGATGCACATCATCTTCACTGATCTGAAGTGATGGGGGGGTGGTGGGGGTGGTTGCTGGAGGTGTTAATGGTTGTGTGGAGAGATGTTCAGAGCAGGTGTAGGGTGTTACACTGGGAGCTTCAAATCTACAGTAAAACTCATTCAGGTCTTCAGCAAGTTGTTTATTCTCTTCAGTGCTGGGGGATGGTGTTTTGTAGTTGGTGATGTCTTTCAGGCCTTTCCACACTGATGCAGGGTCGTTGGCAGAAAACTGGTGTACTAGCTTTTTAGCGTAATTTCTCTTGGCCACTCTAATCTCCTTATTCAGTGTGTTTCTGGCCTGATTGTACAAGACTGTCCCCCCTTCTGTATGCGTCCTCTTTGGCCAGACGATCAGTCTGAGTTTTGCTGTAAACCATGGCTTATCATTGTTGAATGTTAAATGAGTCCTGGTAGGGATGCACGTCTTCACAGAAACTGATATATGAGGTTACAGATTCCGTGAGCTCGTCCAGATTGTTGGCAGCAGCTTCAAAAACACTCCAATCAGTGCAGTCGAAACAGGCTTGTAACGCCCGCTCAGGTTCATTGGTCCAATGAGAAGTAATTTACAATATAGGAGGAAAAACGGAGAGACAGAAACAAAGAGTACTTCTACAAAACAAACAAACAAACAACTAGCATTAGCATATAACAACATCCCATAATTTCACCACTAAATAAACTGTATACAAAGTATGTACAAAGTTACACAGTGCAAAAAACTAATACCCTCACATGATTGAGCTGGAAACCGTACAGGTGCATCTCAATAAATTAGAATGTTGTGGAAAAGTTCATTTATTTCAGTAATTCAACTCAAATTGTGAAACTCGTGTATTAAATAAATTCAATGCACACAGACTGAAGTAGTTTAAGTCTTTGCTTCTTTTAATTGTGATGATTTTGGCTCACATTTAACAAAAACCCACCAATTCACAAATACCGACTTGGTACCCTAGTATTGGTTCTCGTGACATCCCTAGCCAGCACTAACTCAGATAGAAAATCTGCAAGTTCTTTGATAAAGTCTGTATGGTGCCCTGCTGGCCTGAATACAGTAACCAGTATAAATGTCACAGGGGATTTAGCATTAACACTTGCAAATAACATGCTTTTGTGATCAGATGTGGCTTCTCGTCACAGAATAAGGTGGAAAATATATTTTATACTGTAATAAAGGTTATACATATACTTATTTGTGAAAATGCCCCAGATGGCTTAAAGAACACAGATTGACCATATACCATTTTAAAAGTATCGATTTGGCACCAGTATCGTAAAAAAACAAAAAAAACAATACCCAATCCTATCCAAGAGTAGCCATAATTAAGAGTAGACTTAAAACATCCTTACCTGTGCATTCCCTTACTAAAGATGCATCAAATAGTTCAATGCAATGTTAATTACTTCATGCAGTTCGCCATTTTATTTAGAATAATTTAGTTACATTGTGGCATTTTGCAGTAGAACAGAAATTTAATATTTTGATTCCAAGTTATCAGTAACCGGAATGGCACAAAGTCTCCATACAATCCAAATTAGAGTGCGTCTACTGTAATATTTGATACATTTAGGTGTGGATACAGGAGATCATATACATACATATATAAAGCCTCAAGACAAGTATTAAAAAGTGAAGAATACAAATAAAAGACATGGCTATGAAGGTAGGGATGGGAAAGAGTAATAAAGAAAGTGGTGGAGAAATGAAGGGAGCTTTCCCCTTCTACAGACTCACACGCAACACCATAATCGATACAAAACAGAATAAAATTTATTGAACAAGCAAACAGAACTTCAGGAGGGGTCAAGGCCAAAATAATAAACAGAACATACTAACTCCCAAAAACAATCTACCGAATCTAACAAATAAAAGAGAAAAAAAAAAATAATAATAATACTCTAACTCCCTTGCTTTCCTTAAACAGGAGAAAAAGTGTAGTCAAAATAAGTGGCAACCACCTCCCTACAGCTTCCCACCAAAAAAAAAAGAAACAAACAAAATAAATCTTGTTCTTAACCAATAAAGAAATCCTCCCAAAAGAGGATTAAAGATCTTTTAACACATTTTTGTCAACAACAAGTGAACCACAAACACAAGAGAAGTCAGCAAAAAGGACTCTTGCTCCAAGCATCTCAGCTCTGCCTTTTAACTCCAAACATTTCCTCTAGTGGGCCAATCAGGATAGTGCATTCATCAGCAGAATCATCAACTAATTGAACTCCACCTGTTAGTCCTCATCAGCGTTTGAGAGACAGGGAGAGAGAAAAGCAAAACAACACAAACAGAGCACATGCACAAAAGAGACACTCCCACTTACATAGGTCCTGGGACGTCACAAATAGTTCAATGCGATGTTAATTACTTAATGCAGTTCGCCATTTTATTTAGAATCATTTAGTTACATTGTGGCATTTTGCAGGAAAACAGAAACATAATATTTTGTTCCAAGTTACCAGTAAACGGAATGGCACAATGTCTCCATACAATCGAAATTAGAGTGTCTACTGTAATATCTGGAACATTAGATGTGGATACAGGAGATCATATATATATATATATATATATATATATAAAAATATATATATATATATATTTAAAATACTTATTTGTGAAAATGCCCCAGATGGCTTAAAGAACACAGATTGACCATATACCATTTTAAAAGTATCGATTTGGCACCAGTATCGTAAAAAAACAAAAAAAACAATACCCAATCCTATCCAAGAGTAGCCATAATTAAGAGTAGACTTAAAACATCCTTACCTGTGCATTCCCTTACTAAAGATGCATCAAATAGTTCAATGCAATGTTAATTACTTCATGCAGTTCGCCATTTTATTTAGAATCATTTAGTTACATTGTGGCATTTTGCAGTAGAACAGAAATTTAATATTTTGATTCCAAGTTATCAGTAACCGGAATGGCACAAAGTCTCCATACAATCCAAATTAGAGTGCGTCTACTGTAATATTTGATACATTTAGGTGTGGATACAGGAGATCATATACATACATATATAAAGCCTCAAGACAAGTATTAAAAAGTGAAGAATACAAATAAAAGACATGGCTATGAAGGTGCTTCATGGCTTCCTCCAGAATGAATATGTTGCCGATTTTTGAAATGGTAAACCTCATCACAGTCACACTTTATTTCCAGAATGATCTTGAAAGGCCTCTCTCCAGCGTGAACTCCTATATGAGTCTTCAGGTTTCCTTTGACTGTGAAACACTTTGCACAATGATGGCATATGAAATAGTTAAGAGTATAAAATAGAATAGAGTGAAATCTCATGTGGGTTTCTTCACATAATTCCACACATATTTCATGTGAATATTAAGATTTTCTATTTGTGGGATGCTCTTCCCACAGGCTTCCTGTGTTTATTAATGTGAGCACTGAGGCTAGCTTTATGACTGAAACTCTTTCCACACTGAGCACATTTACAGCATTTCTCTGCTGAATGAGTCTTCATGTGGTAATCAAGGCTTATCTTACGTACAAAACCCCTTCCACACTGATCACATTTGAAGGGTTTCTTTCCAGTGTGCCTAATCTTGTGACACTTAAGGCTAAATTCTGTTGCGAGGTTCTTTCCACAACGATCACATGTGAACAGCTGCTTTCCAGTGTGAACTCTCATGTGGTAATTACGGGTGTATATATGTGTGAAACTCTTCCCACAATACTCGCAAGAGTAAGGCTTCTCTCCAGTGTGAACTCTCATGTGGACTTTAAGGCTTTGTTTTGCAGGGAAACTCTTTCCACACTGTTCACATGTATAAGGCTTCTCTCCAGAGTGAATGCTCATGTGGAAATGAAGGGAGTATAAATGTGTGAAACTCTTTCCACACTGACGGCAAGCGTAAGGCTTCTCTCCTGAGTGAGTTCTCATGTGACTTTGAAGGTTTGCTTTTTGAGTGAAACTCTTCCCACACTGCTGGCAGGTGTAAGGCTTCTCTCCTGAGTGAGTTTTCATGTGATTATTAAGGGCTCCTTGTTGAGTAAAACTCTTTCCACACTGTTGGCAGGGGAATGGCCTCTCTCCAGAATGAGCTCTCATGTGATTATTAAGGGCTCCTTGTTGAGTAAAACTGTTTCCACACTGCTGGCAGGTGAATGGCCTCTCTCCTGAGTGAGTTCTCATGTGACTTTTAAGGTGTGCTTTTTGAGTGAAACCATTTCCACACTGCTGGCAAGTGAATGGCCTCTCTCCTGAGTGAGTTCTCATGTGACTTTTAAGGGCTCCTTGCTGAGTGAAGCTCTTTCCACACTCTTGGCAGGGGAATGGCCTCTCTCCATTGTGAACTCTCACGTGCATTTGAAGTTTTTGTTTTTCACCGAAACTCCTCCCACAATGACGGCAGGTGAAATGGCTGTTAGATTTGGTTTTCTGAGCTCTTTTTCGTTTGGAAGTCGTTTTAGTCTGTGTGGCCTTTTCACCAGTTATGACATCATGGTGTTTCTCATACTGATCTGTCTGTTCCATTTCATTCGGATCTTGATTCTCCTCTTTCAGCACCAGCAGGTCTAAAGCAAAAAAAAAGAAAAGAAAAAAAGACAAATACAAGTTATCCGCAGTTTAAAGCCACAAAGCAAAAGATGTGAAAACCAACATAAAAGCATTTAAGGCGGGACACACCAAGCCGACTTCAAAGAACTAGCAGCGACAAAAGCTGACGGTGTTGTTGCCTCATCTCGACAGGGTCTGGACCAAAAAGCTGCGCTTGAACACACCGCTCAGACTACAACTGACTGCAAACTGACGCCGGTTTCACACCGCACGCGTAAGCAGCGCATATTTTTTTCGGCGCCCATGTTAACAGATCAGAGTATTCACACCGCACGCAGAGGCGGCACGTAGCAGGAGCAGAGCAGAAGCGGCAGTGTCGCGATCGTTTCGGCGCCAAGTCTATTTTTGCTGCGCCACTTACGCTGGAATAAAGCCACAGTGCATAGAAATAAACACGAAAATTAACAAATTCCACCATAAAATCAAATAAGTAAGCTGTACTTCACAAACACCACATGACATTCAGTGCTGTGAAAAAAATAGACTTGATTTCAAAGGCTCGTTTAAATGATTAAAACTACATGGTTTATATGTACATCTTAACGTTAAGATTACTTTTAAAAAATCAAATCAAATCAAATCACTTTTATTGTCACATCACCACAGCACATGTGCCTTGGTGAGTGAAATTCTTGGGAGTGTGCTCCAGACAGTGCAGAAATAATTTACATATAGACATACTTACAGACTTATATAGATGACAATGTGCAATATACACATACTCAGTACAAAGTGTACTATTAGACATTCTTACAGTTAGCAATACACATTATACACAGAATGTACATATTCTGCATTATGTACACAAATATACTCACAAAAATATGCGAAGGTGCAGCAGATTATACATGAACTGGATAAGCAAAATGTCATGGATGTGCACTGGATGGTATCCAGTGGTAGCAGATAGATTATTGTATTAAGTGCAGTGTGTACGTATAGTCCAGTACTGAACTGTGTTGGAGTTAAAGTGCAGCGTATGGCATACCGTAGAGTGGGAGTATGCTGTAGGGTGTATTAGTTCTGACTGTTCATTAGTCTGATAGCCTGAGGGAAAAAGTTATCAGATGCTGCGGAGACGTCTTCCTGAGGGTAGCAGGGAGAGCAGTCTGTGGGATGGGTGGCTGGAGTCTCTGATGATCCTCCGGGCTTTCCTTATACACCGCCTGGTGTAGATGTCCTGAAGGGTTAGGCAGTTCGCACGACCCTTTGCAGAGCTTTGCGGTTGCCAGCCGTGTTGTTTCCAAACCAGGCAGTGATGCAGCCAGTCAGGATGCTCACCCCAGTGCAGGTGTAGAATGTTCGGAGGATGCTGGGGCTCATGCCAAACTTCCTCAGCAGTCTCAGGAAGAAGAGGCGTTGATGTGCCTTCTTCAGCACTGCATCTGTGCTGTCTCCTGAAATCCACCACCAGCTCCTTGGTCTTGTCGATCGTTCTCCTGACACCATTTAGTCAGGGTGCTCACCTCCTCTCTGAAGGCCGTCTCATCGTTGTCGGTGATCAGGCCTATCACCGTTGTGTCGTCAGCAAATGTTGAGGGACAGTGGGGATGAAGTATTGTTGCCCATTCTGACCACCTGACTTCTGCCTGTCAGGAAGTCCAGGAACCAGCTGCACAGAGATCTGTTTAGTCCCAGAGTCTGGAGCTTCGCAAAAAGGGTGGCAGGCACTATGGTATTAAATGCTGAGCTGTAGTCCACAGACAGCATTCTCACATAGGTGTTCTTATTTTCCAGGTGGGAGAGAGATGTGTGTAGGGTGAAAGCAATTGCACCGTCTGTGGAACGGTTGCTATAATATGCAAATTGTAGTGGATCCAGTGAAGCAGGCAGCACAGAGCAGATGTAGTCTCTGATGAGTCTCTCAAAACACTTGCTGAAGATGGGTGTCAGAGCAACAGGCTTCCAGTCATTCAAACATGTGATTTTATTTAATTTTTTTGGTATGGGCACAATGGTGGATTTTTTGAAGCACGAGGGAACCACAGACAGAGAGAGGGAGAGGTTGAAAATGTCTGTGAAAACTCCGGCTAGTTGGAATGCGCATGGTCGGAGCACACGGCCTGGGATGCCATCAGAGAATGTACAAAGCGTGTACAAAGCATGTACAAATCACCACGCGTGTTGATGGTGATGTGTTGAAAACATTTTGGAGCTATTGTTCTGAAGTTGGCTTTGTTAAAGTCCCCCGTAACAATAAACGCTGCATCTGGGTACGCAGTTTCCTGCCCACTTATTTTCCCATACAGTTCCTTGAGTGCCTGCTCTGTGTTGGTTTGAGGAGGAATGTTAACAGCTGTGATTATGATCACTGTAAATTCTCTCGGTAGCCAGAGTGGTCGACACAGAAGGATATGAAATTCCAGATCAGGGGAGCAGAAGGATTTAATAGAGTGTAGGTTCCTCTCATCACACCACGAGCTGTTGATAAAGAAACAAACGCCCCCACCTCTGCTTTTCCCTGTGAGCTCTTTTGTTCTGTCCGAGCGGTGCACGGAGAACCCCGTAAGCTCGATGGCTGAGTCTGGAACCTCTGCAGACATCCAGGTTTCTGTGAGGCAAATAATGCAGCAGTCCCTTGTTTCTCGTTGGTATGAGATGCTTGCCCGCAGTTCACAGAGTTTGTTTTCCAGTGACTGAACGTTAGCCAGCAAAATGGTTGGGAGAGGAGGTCGGAGGGGACGATGTCTGAGTCTGACAAGGAAGCCGGCTCTCTTCCCCCTTTTCCGGCGGCGTTTCCTCGGTCGAGACCGTGCGGCCCAGACAAAGGGCTCTGATGCGGTGTCTGTAAACAGAGCGCCGGCGTTCAAGAACTCAAAGTCCGGTTTGCGTTGCGCGACGTAGGAACCAATGTTTAAAAGCGTGTGTCTATCGTAGACAGTTATACTAACAACATCCAACACGTAGAACAACAAAATAACAAGTAAAACAAACGCAAAACTGCAGAGTTTTCTTGGAGCTCGCAACACGGCTGCCATGCTCGGC